ATTCAGTGCAGTGTTTGTCTAAATCCGTGGTCCCCAACATGGTGCCCGCGGGCGCATTTCTCGGTGCCAGGCCCGAGCTGGCTTGGCCCCAGGCACCTGGCGCATGCGCGGTGCTGGAGCTGGCCCCGGGCGCTATGGGAGGGGGCCCTGGTATGCGGCTATGGGGGGGCCCGGGCGCCCGGCGGGCGAACAGCCACGCCCCCGGCGCCCGGCAACCCCAAATGGTTGGGGACCACTGCTCTAAATAATACTAAGAGCACATGGATTCAAATACTACACATGCTTTCAAGCTTGTTCATTCATTCACAATCATTTACAAAGTCAATTTGATCTAACAGCTTTAAGAAAACCCCTGTGATCATTGTTATCTGGAAACAAATTAGATCTATAAAGAATTAACAATGTGACACTATGTACTTGCTCCTGAAATCTGTTTCGTCTTCAAGGAGGAAGGTTGATCCAGGCTTCACTTGCAACTTCGATTCTCTATATTTGCATCCCTCCCCCAAAAGAGGGTGCAAGTGTAGAAATACCCTGACAGAGTTAATTAGAGATCAGTAATGGAGCATTGCAGCACTTAATGGCACATAATTTAAAAAGCAAGCCCCTGGAAACTGTTTATTTGCTCTTGTGAACCACCATATTTCCTGAGGAGAGCTTGGCTTCATATTCTACTAATAAAGAGAAGCAGTGGCCATTCTGAAGGAGGGCTAGAAACACTCCACAATCAGGGTATGTCTACACTACCCTCCTAGTTCGAACTAGGAGGGTAGTGTAGACATACCCTAAGATTTAAAAAGCAAGCCCCTGGAAACTGTTTATTTGCTCTTGTGAACCACCATATTTCCTGAGGAGAGCTTGGCTTCATATTCTACTAATAAAGAGAAGCAGTGGCCATTCTGAAGGAGGGCTAGAAACACTCCACAATCAGGGTATGTCTACACTACCCTCCTAGTTCGAACTAGGAGGGTAGTGTAGACATACCCTAAGTGCTAATGAAGCCCGGGATTTGAATTTCCCGGGCTTCATTAGCATAAGCGGGGAGCCGC